TGGGATGGGCACACACACCAACACAAATCTAACCCTGAAATCGAACAGCTTGTTCTGGAGAAAAGACGTTTGAGACGTGCTTGGCAAACCAGCAGATCCTCCAAACAAAGTCTTAAGGAAGCTGGTCGCAGACTGACTAGGGCTCTAAGGCAAGAAGAAGTAAAAGCACAACGCCAGTACATTGTGAAACTTTCACCAGCACTAAGCATCCCTTGTGGAGGGCCCACCCAAATCTAAATGCGCCGGCCGAAACAGTAATTCCCATAAGAGACTCTTCAGGCAGCTGGGTCAGAAGCGACAAAGACAGAGCTTGTACATTTGCTTTACACCTTCGAAATGTTTTCCAGCTAAGCCCTGCAACTAATTCATTCGCACTACCGTCGCCGTCAATTCGAATCGAATCTGAGACGGAGCCAATTCTGTTTCAACCAAATGAAATTGCAAAAGTAATCAGCGAGCAATTGAAACCAAAAAAGGCCCCAGGCGGTGATCAAATAACTCCCAAAATGTTAATCGAACTTCCAAACTGTGCAGTTGAGGTTATTTGTAAACTCTTTAACGGGATTACACAACTGTGCTATTTTCCAAAAAAAATGGAAAAAATCGGTAATCATAATGATCCCAAAGCCAGGAAAAGATCACACAATACCAGCTTCGTACAGACCGATAAGTTTACTCTCGTGTCTGTCAAAACTGCTAGAAAAATGCCTTTTGACGCGCATAATCCCATATCTGAAAGAGCACAACGTTATTCCAGCACACCAATTTGGCTTACGGGAAAGCCATGGAGCAATAGAGCAAGTCAACAGACTAACAACAGTAATACGGACTGCATTCGAGCTTCGGGAATACTGCAGTGCGGTATTCCTTGACGTTGCACAAGCTTTCGACCGAGTCTGGCTTGATGGCCTTATGCATAAAATCAGAACGATCCTGCCGGAAAACACTCACAGGATACTTGAATCGTACCTTTACAACAGAGCCTTCGTCGTGAGATGCAACACTACAACATCCGACGACTACGCTATAGAGGCTGGAGTTCCCCAAGGTAGCGCCCTTGGTCCAACTCTATTTCTCCTCTACACCGCAAATATCCCCACGAACGAGCGGCTAACTACTTCTACATTCGCAGACGATACCGCGATCATAAGTCGGTCCAAATGCCCAATTCAGGCAACAGCATTACTAGCTGATCATCTCGTTGTAGTGGAGAGGTGGTTTTCAGACTGGCGTATAAAAATAAATGCGCAAAAGTGTAAACATATAACGTTTACTCTTAACAGACAAACGTGTCCCCCGCTAACCTTGAATAACACGCCACTTCCACAAGCTGACGATGTAGCGTACCTTGGCATCCACCTAGACAGGAGACTTACATGGCAGAGACATATCGAAGCTAAGAAAATTCACCTAAAACTAAAATCAACCAGTCTCCATTGGCTTATAAACGCGCGCTCCCCCTCTGCCCGGACTTCAAGGTCCTGCTCTACAATTCAACGCTTAAGCCAGTCTGGACCTACGGCTCCCAATTGTGGGGAAACGCGAACAGCAGCAACATCGACATTATTCAGCGAGCACAATCAAAAATCCTGAGAACTATCACTGGGGCACCTTGGTATGTTCGGAACGACAACATCCACAGAGATCTTGGCATTCTACCCGTAAAAGATGAAATATGAAAACAAAAAGCGTCCTACCACACCAAGCTAACTTCTCATCCAAACCAGCTCGCCAGGTGCATAGCAAGGGTTTCCAAACGGAAACGCAATGATCTTCCAGCTCAGCAATAGTTATATAGACTGTCAGATAGTTTTTTAATTTAAGATTCTATATACTTATTGTTAGTCTCAATTCAGAGAAGATCCAATAAATAAAATGCAAATGTTAAATAAAAAAAAAAAAAGTAAGGCTTTTGATCCCGTGAACCATCAGTTATTATTAAACAAAACTAACATTACTAGGATTCCCGATCATGTTGACTAAGTGGATTTCAAGCATACCTGTCGAACCGGTCTCAAAGTAGTAGCTTTAAAACTTTGCACAATCTCAAACTCTGTTCACGCTGAATATCTGTTTCGGAACGGGAGCCACCTACGACCCCTACTGTTTGGAATATAACTGGCCTCAGGAAGTTCTCTCTTTTTATGTTATGATGTATGCTGACGACGTAAAACTTTGTTTGCCATTATGGCAAACCCAATCCCATGTAACAACCTTCATAAGGATCTTGGCTGCTATCCAGAATTTGCTGCTTTTTAAATGAACGATCGGAAATGTACAACTTTGATGTCCTTTTATCGGAAGTTAGGCTTTTCCTCACGTCATATTCTTTTGTGTCGATTGGCCAATCAATTTGAACTACACAAATTCCTTAGCAGGACCGTGCCGACTGTACTATTCAACCACAACTTATAACTGATCTGATCGGATAATGGCAACTATTGTTAGTAAAGCTAGGAAGTGGGTTTTCTTTGCTTTTTTTTTGGCCAAACGTTCCGGTCTACGAAATTACATGAGGATCGACCGACTATATCCTATACCGAATCACTTATTGATCGGAAAGCATTTCCTTGGTTTGTCCAATTCTGGAATACTGCTCGTGTGTATTAAGAAGCATCATCATGAATATTTGGCAATCATCAATTGACGCTTATCTGAATCGGTACAGAAACAATTCCTCCGCTTTGTTTGCTTTACGTGGTTTAAATTTAAGATATATACTTATTGTTCGTCTACCATCTCACGAGAAGATCCAATAAATAAAATGCAAATGTTAAATAAAAAAACAAAAATCGTCGAAGGCCTTTGACCGGTGAATCATCAGTTCCTTATTAAATCAATAACTAACATTAGTAGGATTCCCGATCATGTTGACCTAACTGGGTTTCAACATATTTCGAACCGTTCTCCAAGAGTACCCTTTAAAAGCACAGTCTCAAACTTCTGTTCACGTGAACTCTGGTGTTCCGCAAGGGAGCCACCTAGGACCCCTACTGTTTTGAATTCTCATAAATTACTTGCCTCAAGTAGTTCTCTCTTCTCATGTTATGATGTATGCTGACGACGTAAAACTTTGTTTGCCATTATCGAAACCCATATTCTTCCATCTGAACAACCTTCATTTTGTGCATAGAAATACGGTTCTCAATCCCAGTAAGTTCTGCTCGTCACTTTCTAAATATTGACTCGATTTGCAAATGTAAATTGATGTCCTTTTCCATCGGAAGAGGCTTCTCCTAACGTCATATTCATTGCGGTCGAATGATCTTAAACTCATAAATTCCGTAGCATGTCCATGGAGTGTTATGTCAACCACAACTTAAACTTATCTGATCATATTGGCTTTATTGTTAATAAAGCTAGTAAGGGTTCACATTTGCGAGTTTTGTTAAAAGAACGTGACTTTTCAAGGAATTTCGGGGAACCATATACCACGAAACACCTATCATATTTCTTTGTTTTGTCTATATTGGAATACTGCTTCCGTGAGTTTGGTCACCTGAATATACCAATCATCAAGACTCTTTTTGAATCGGTACAGAAACAATTTCTTTTGTTTGCTTTACGGTGGTTTTAAGCTATGGAAAAACATGGATCTACCATCTTACTTGGATCAAATTTTGTGTAAAAAATAAAATTGAACGTGCCCTGAAACCTTCAAGGATCGTCGAACCTGTCATACGGTGTCACTGTTCCTGAGTAAAATAAATTAATAACTGGTCTTGTAAATTCAAGCTAACCTACTGAAGAAGCCAATGACCAGCCGTTCTCCATCCCTGTAAGGTCGTCAACAACTGTTGTAAACGTTCAAGCAGTGACGAAAATTGTTTTGGAAAATCGTCGAGCCACTCTAGGACCCTACTGTTGTTGAAGTTCTCGGTAAATTACTTGCCTCGTGCCATGATCTCTTTTCAAACGTTTTGGGTATGTAGTCGTGACGACGTAAAACTTTGTTCCGAAATTGCCGATTTTGACCAAATCACAACCGTCCCATGAACTCGCTCAAGCCGATGCTGAATGACGTCAACCTTCATTCTAGATGTACTCCAGAAATAACTGGTGCTCAATCCCTGTAAGTTCTACTGGTTATGCTTTCGAACATATTGCCCATCGATATTTGTAGGACAAATTTTGTTGTACATAATCCAATTTCCAAAAATCGTCCGAAACATCGCTAAATAACTTGTAACTTTACGCCTCCCTCCCAAAACTGGATGTCCAGTGAAACTTGGTAGTAAGATGTTAGTAAGGTGTCAATGTAACATAACTTTAATCGATAATCGAAATAAATTCCCAAAATTTGAATAGTCACCTTACTTTTACACACTCATACGATGGACATCGTATCCTGTAACATTTTGTCACTTTATATAATTCCCTCCTACGTTTGCTTATCACGGGCATACTCACAGACGTTAACGTGGTCCAATGGTTGGTCGTCTAAATCCAGCTTTAGATGCTACATACAATAAAATAAGTCTATTTATATTTTCTTAATAGGAGGTTCACTGGGTTGAAAAATGTTTTAAAAAAAATATAATACCCTCTGCAACGGTATAAAAAATCTAAAACTAAATCTTCTTTCTCAAACCTTTCACCGAACATCTGAAAAAATTAAACTTTATTCGATTCTTATTTTTGACGTCTTGAACAAAAATAAAAACTCTAACTTTAAACTTGTTTGAATAATTATTTTTAAATAGTATTATTTTAGATCATTGGAAATAGATATGATAGATAAAAAAAAATTAAAAATTTAAGGTGTTTGTTAAATTTGATGATAATATAATTTTGCCCCAATTGGTATTAAAAATTGTTTTTAATGTTATATTATCTGGCAGCATAGTTATACATTGAATGTTGAAGTTTTTAGGCTTAAGATTGTACAATATTCGGTTCGATTTATCAATGTTGATAAGTAATAACAACAGCCTCCAAGCTGTAACTGCAAATAAATCTAACAGAAAAAATTAAGTACACTTTTATTTTCATCATTACAGTTCTTAAGTCAGTGGAAGGTGAACAACTCGTTTTGACAAATGTGCATCGTTCCGATATGGGTGCCTACAATTGCATTGCATCAAATGGAATACCGCCATCAGTTAGCAAGCGTTTCGATGTTCATGTAAATTGTAAGTACTTATTCTTAATAAACCTCTGCATGTAAATTAATAACCATTCTGTGTATTCACTGATCTTTTTGAAAGCAGCAAAGAAATCAAACTTCGTTTAGACATCTGGTCGGACAGTAGATGTCAGAAACTCTTACCTTTTAATGTTGTGCAATAAATGTATTTCAAAACCAAACAAATTTATTTAAAGTTTAAGGGCAAACAAATTTATTTTAGGTTTAAGGCGTTGCTAAATTGTCTCAAAGTTTTATTAAAAATGACTCATCGACACGAAGCGTCAGAATACAATTTTGATCAAAGGCAAATAAAGTTGGAATCCAATATGATGGTTATTTTGGATTTGCTCAGGGTAACGATGTTCCGTATTTGACTTATTGTGGGATCTGTTTGCCAGGGATTATCCAACGCTGAGATAGTGGAAAAGCTGTCGGCGCAGATGGCGAATTTGCCTTTACCTTTGTAGGCGTATACGCAGGCCTAAAGTACTGCGAAAGCCTCAATGGTAAATATCGAGTTGATGTTGGGAAGGAATCTGGTTTGGATGAGAAGTTAGCTTGGTGTGGTAGGACGCTTTTTGTTTTGATATTTCATCTTTTACGGGTAGAATGCCAAGATCTCTGTGGATGTTGTCGTTCCGAACATACCAAGGTGCCCCAGTGATAGTTCTCAGGATTTTTGATTGTGCTCGCTGAATAATGTCGATGTTGATGCTGTTCGCGTTTCCCCACAATTGGGAGCCGTAGGTCCAGACTGGCTTAAGCGTTGAATTGTAGAGCAGGACCTTGAAGTCCGGGCAGAGGGGGAGCGCGCGTTTATAAGCCAATGGAGACTGGTTGATTTTAGTTTTAGGTGAATTTTCTTAGCTTCGATATGTCTCCGCCATGTAAGTCTCCTGTCTAGGTGGATGCCAAGGTACGCTACATCGTCAGCTTGTGGAAGTGGCGTGTTATTCAAGGTTAGCGGGGGACACGTTTGTCTGTTAAGAGTAAACGTTATGTGTTTACACTTTTGCGCTTTTATTTGTATACGCCAGTCTGATAACCACCTCTCCACTACAACGAGATTATCACCTAGTAATGCTGTTGCCTGAATTGGGCATTTGGACCGACTTATGATCGCGGTATCGTCTGCGAATGTAGAAGTAGTCAACCGCTCGTTCGTGGGGATATCTGCGGTGTAGAGGAGAAATAGAGTTGGACCAAGGGCGCTACCTTGGGGAACTCCAGCCTTTATAGCGTAGTCGTCGGATGTTGTAGTGTTGCATCTCACGACGAAGGCTCTGTTGTAAAGGTACGATTCAAGTATCCTGTTCGCGCACTTTGCGTTCTTTAATTTGTTGAACAGTGTAAGGCGGGAGCGGGAGCACAATAAAGATTTAAGCGCTCTCGCGAATTCGCCCCGTCTCTCGCCCCCTTTGTTAAGATAGGTTTAAGCGTTTATATATTGAAATTAAAAGTTAGTTGTCATATGAACATCATTGAGTAAACTCCCTTTCGTCGCCTCGTCGCCAAAATAAAACTAAATCAATTTTCCCTGCAGTCACAAGTTTCGCGTTCGTTTAATACAAAACCGTATTAGTTTTTCATGGTGACCCCGACGTGATCTGCAGTGGAAATCGAGTGTTATTTTTGGTGAAAAAACAAAATTAAAACTAAATAAATCACGCCGGCTTTTAAAACATTGAAGTTGTTGTTGCCGCTGCTTTAATTTATACTTTAATTCGTCGTTGCTGCCGCTGGACAATTTGACCGCTGCAGTTCGTTAACTGGACCAGAAGTTTTTGTTGCCGCTGCTTGTCGCCAATTGCTGCCTACGAAGGAAGGCATATGGATTCGAAGAGGGAAGTTGCCGACGGATGTGTGTCGTCCCACCAGGTATAGAGTGCTAAAAGTTTTTTTTTTTTTTTATTTTAACTTTGCTTTTATTTATTGAATCTTCTCTTAATTTTGAGACTAACAATAAGTTTACGAATCTTAACATTAAAATTTAACTAACAGTATAATAAGACTGCATTCTGGTTGCGCGTGCCTCAAGTCGGTCGCTGGGTGGGTAAGTCATTGCGACGAAGGCGTGATTGGTTGATCAACCTTGTAAGACCTCTCGCCAGGTGGTTAGGGTGCAACGATAGCTTGGTAAAGTACTTTTCCTTCTGTTCTGCGATCACTTCTTTGACTGGTAGAATGTTTAAGTCGCGATGTATGGTTTCGTTGCGAACGTACCACGGTGCCCCGGTGATTGTTCTCAAGATCTTCGACTGAGCTCGCTGGACTATGTCAATATTGCTATTGCTGGCATTCCCCCATAACTGAGAGCCGTACATCCATATAGGTTTTAGTACCGAGTTATACAGCAGGACTTTATATTCAAGACTAAGGGGAGACCGAGCGTTGATAAGCCAATGAAGGCTACTGGCTTTTAGCTTTAGGTGTGTTCTTTTGGCTTCAATGTACCGGCGCCATGTGAGTCTTCTGTCGAGGTGTACTCCTAGATATGTCACTTCGTTTGCTTGCGGGAGTAGAGTATGGTTTAACATGAGCGGCGGGCAGTTTTGCCTGTTCAGGGTGAACGTAACGTGCTTGCATTTTTGTTCGTTCACTTTAATTCGCCAATCTGATAGCCACTTTTCTACATCGACCAGATGAAGAGCGAGCTGCGCAGTTGCTTGCATCGGGCATTTTGAGCGGCTGAGAATGGCTGTATCATCAGCAAACGTAGATGTTGTAAGTCGTGTGCTTGTTGGGATGTCTGCTGTGTAGAGGACATATAATGTTGGCCCAAGCACGCTTCCTTGAGGAACTCCAGCTCCAATAGTGAAATCGTCAGTTATAGCAGTGTTGCATCGAACAGCAAATTTTCTGTCGTAGAGGTAAGACTCTAGAAGCTTATGGGTGTTGTAGGGGAGCATTGTCTTGATCTTGAACATTAGACCTTCAGCCAAACTCTATCAAATGCTTGAGAGACGTCTAAAAATATGGCAGTACAGTACTCTCGTTTTTCGAACGCGTTCCGAATTTCTGATGTTATCCGGTCTACCTGCTCAATTGTTCCGTGCTTTTCACGAAACCCAAATTGATGTGACGGAATTCCTTCCTGGATTCTTAGGTATGTGTTTATCCGAATCAATACGCATTTTTCAAAGAGTTTAGATAAGCATGAGAGTAGGCTTATAGGTCTATACGACGTGGGAATTGTGTGGTCTTTTCCTGGCTTTGCTATCATTATTATAATCGACTTTTTCCATCTCACTGGAAAGTGGCCAAGTTTTGCGATGGCATTAAAAAGCTGGGTGATAGTGCAAACGGCGCAATATGGGAGCTCAATGATCATTTTGGGAGTTATGAGGTCGCAGCCCGGGGATTTTTTCGGATTCAGCTGATTTTTGATGATGTTAACGATTTCGTTTGGGCGAAACTCAATTGGTTCATGTTGAAGCTGAGGCTCATGTGGTAAAGTCGGCAAGGTGAACGCACTAGTGGCAGGATTTGGTTGGAAGACATTTTTAAGGTGGTTGGCAAACGTGCTGGCTCTGTCTGCATCGCTGCGCGCCCAGCCGCCTGTGGGGTTTCTAATAGGCATCACGGTTACTTTCGGTGAGCTTAGAGTAGGGTGAGCTCTCCATAGTGAGTGTTTTGTGCTAGATGTTGACAATTGCTCTATGTAGCGTCGGTGGACATGTGCTTCTTCTTGCTGTAAAGCTTTTGTGAGTTGACGTGAGGCATATTTGAAGCTTTGCCTAGCAGATGGTGATCTGTGGAGTTGCCACTCTCGACGTAAGCGTCGCTTTTCGAGGACGAGCTGTTCTATTTGTAGATTTGTCTTCTTTTGGTTGCTTTGTGTACTTGTAGTTTGGGGTGTTGAAACTCGAGCTGCAGAGACGAGTACAGACTCCAGTGTATTAACAAATCTGTCTACGTTGGCTTCATCGTTGAGATGAGGACTTAGCTCAATGTGTGAGCTAATGTATTTCTTGTACTTAACCCAATTGGTTTTCTGAGATGTCAATTTAAACGATTGCTCCAATGCGCCTGGATGTCGGAGAAGAATAAACAGGACAGGCGAGTGATCCGATGAAAGATCCGAGAGGCATTCGGCGCTTATCAGATTTTTAGAAATGTTTTTGGTAATTGCAAAGTCTATTAAATCGGGTAGTTTCCTTGGGTCTGCCGGCCAGTATGTTGGTCTGCCAGGAGAAACATAGTCCAGCTTGTTCTTGGCTTTTATAACTGCATTATAGAGCTGTTTTCCTTTTGGAGTCACGAGACGTGATCCCCAGTGTGTGTGCTTGGCGTTGTAGTCCCCTGCTGCTATGAAGTGGTCTCCTAGTGAGTTGAAAAACTGCATAAACTCATCTTCAGCTATGGTGAAGCGAGGGGGGCAGTATACGGCGGCTAGTGTAAGTTGGTTGCCAGTATTTGTTTGTATATTTATAGATGTGGCCTGTAGATAATTTTTAGCAAATTTGTTATGATAGTGGTGCTTAATACGGCTTCTGATTAGAATTCCAGTCCCACCATGTGCTTTACCATCTGGATGATTTGTTCCGTGAAATGAGTAACCTCGTAGTTGAAAATTGTATTTATTTGTAAGGTGTGTTTCTGAAAGCAGCATTACGTCGATATGGTTGTCGAGTAGGAATTGAGCTAACTCAAGTTTATGCTGTGAGACGCCGTTAGCGTTCCACGTAGATATCCTTAGGGAAGTCATTATTTGGATTGTTGTGAAACCAGCATTTGAATCAGTAGATTTTGGTTTCGCATTAAATCTTGCATAGTTGTGCGCATAAACGACATAAACTCCGTAAGGCTTTGCTGCAGGCTGTATATCATATCTTCGAAGTTGCTTTTTGACTGCTCCGGGAATTGTTGCTGCTGAGCCGTGTTCGGTTCTTGGTATGCTGATTGCAGAAATGAACTTTTTGAGACAGGGTTAGCCAGTCCTGATTTTAAAGCGCTTGCGTAAGTCACATTTTTATCAGAGTTTAAGGGTCCTAGTGAGGATCT